GACATGGGGTACATTTCCACATGTACACAGATGACACCCATCTCTATTTTCCACCTCTCTTTGCGACCCCCAGGCCCCTGATGTTCTGTCAACCTGCCTGTCAGATCTCAGAGGCTGGATGAGCGCAAATTTCCTTCAGCTGAACGTTGACAAGACGGAAGCCTTGCTCTTTGGCTCTCGTCAACGTCTAAACTCTCACGGCTCTCACCTCCTCCACCTCCCACTAAAACTCTCTGAACCTGTACGCAACCTAGGCGTCAGGTTCGACCCCCAATTATCCTTCCTCCCTCACAAACGGTCCCTCACCGATACCGCCTTCTTCCACCTCCGCAAATACCTCTCTCCGAAAGCCTCTGAAACCCTAGTCCATGCCTTTGACACCTCTCGGCTGGACTATTCTAATGCCCTCCTCGCTGGTCTCCCATCCATAAAATTCAGATCATTCAAAACTCTGCCGCCCGCACTCTCACCCGTACCAAACTCTGTTCCCCGATCACCCCAGTCCTTGCCAGACTGCACTGGCTGCCTGTCCCAGAGAGGATCGACTTCAAGATCCTCACCCTTGTATTCAAAACCCTCCACTCCTCTGCACCCCCTACCTCTCTGACCTCTCTCTTCAAAACAGTATCCAATGCCTTCGTTCCTCCGGGTTTGGCTTCCTCCTCGTCCCCCGAGTCCTCCGCTCCACTCTCGGCAGCCATGCCTTCAGCCACTATGCCCCGAGGCTCTGGAACTCCCTTCCTCGCTCCCTTCGCCTCACTCCCTCTCTTCCTATTTTCAGGTCTCTGTTGAAGACCTTTCTCTTTGACCGCACCTTTGATCACCTTCCTCTCCATCCCCCTGGCTCGGCACCGGGATCCGTTACTGTAAAGGACTCTGAGATGCAGTCCAGCGTGGAGAGCGCTATATAAATCCAAGTTGTTGTTGTTGTTGAAATCAACGAGACTGACAGAATGACTGTCAAGATATCTAGTCCTGAATCAGCATTAATTTTCTTTTAAAAAAAGCATCATCACAACCAAATCTCTCCTGCTTGATTCCTGCTAGTGCCTGTTCGCTGGCCTCCTGCGCTCCACAAGCTCCAAATAATCCAGAACTCCTCAGATTGCTTTCTCTCCAATACCAAACCTATCACCCCACCTCTGTCTGGTTCCATATCGCCTAGTGGGTCGACTTTAACATCCATGTCATCTTAAATGCTTCCACCGCCTATCCCCCCGCCCCCCACTGTTATGATCCCACTCAACTCTACTCCACCGTCTCAAGTCCTCATGTTCCCTTGCCCACTTCACTCCACTATCTGCAGATGAGCTTTCAGACATTTTATTCTCATTTTCTGTGACGCTTCTAAGATCCTTCCGCCTAGCCCTCTCTATTTGCTTTCAAAACCCACCTGAAAACCTCTCATCAAATGCACCTTCGGCAACCTTCCTTCATTGATTGGGTTCCCACTAAGACTTTGTAAAGCACTTTGAGACATTCTATGTTTAATCTCCGTACGAGTGTAATCTGTGGTATCAACATGCTAAAACCACTCTAGATCTCCAACGGTATTATCACCATCCTACAACATAACTTTGTAGCATGCTTGGCCTGCATTTGAAAGAAATAACAAGGCAGGAATAGAGGAACAGCAGAAACCAAGCTCCATGTGTTTGAGCATTCCTGGAATGTAAATGCATTTCTAAAGAAAACATGAGTAAAATAGAACCTTGTTCTGCACACACTTCAATAACTGAGGCAATTCAATATGAGGAAATAGGTCAGTCTAATTATTATCTTAATAAGAGTTTCCACCGTATTTCATATTAAGTTCAAAATAACCAATGGCAGAGACTAATGCACATTGTACAACAAAATTACATTTGTATAGAGCCTTTCACGTCGAGAGGATGTCCAAAGGCGCTGGACAGTCAGTGTTTCGGACCTGAGCTGGGGGTTGGGATTGGGGAGGGCAGCGGGGGAAGGAGGGTGATCGAAAGCACGGTCGAAGAGGAGGGTCTTGAGATGGATCTTGAAGAAGACAAGGGAGGAGGCGAGGCAGAGGGACTGTGGGATGGAGTTCCAGAGGGTGGGGGCAGAGTGGCTGAAGGCCCGCCCGCCAATGGTGGAGTGGGTGAGGGATGTGAAGTAGGCCGGAGCCTGCTGAGCGGAGGGAACATGCAAGTTGGTAGGAGTTTAGGTGGTCACAGAGGTAGGTGGGAGTGAACCCATGGAGGGCATTGAAGGTGAGGACCAGGATCTTGAGCTGGATCCTCTGTATGATGGGAAGCCAATGGAGTCATGCGAGGTTAGGGGTAATAGGGTCACAGAGCCTGGTGCGGGAGAGGACACGGGCTGCAAGTTCTGGATGATCTGCAGCCTGTGTAGGGAAGCGATGGGGAGGCCAACAAGCAGGGAGTTTGCATAGTCAAGCCTGGATATTATATATGCGTGTATGAGGCGGTCTGTGGTGTGAGACAGTGGCGAAGCCGGGTGATGTGTGGAGGTCGGGAAAGGCAGAGGGGGTCATGGCACGGATGTGGGGTAGAAAGGATAGTTGAGGGTCATACAAGAGGCCAAGATTCAGGACTGGCTTAGTAAGGTGGAATATGCATCCTTGGAAGGTGATGCTGTCAGTGCCTGAGGTGTGGAAGTGCTGACGGCAGCCAATCAGAAGGGCCTCGGGCTCATTGGCGTTCAACTGAAGAAAGTTAGCTCTCATCCAGGACTTGACGTCTGACACATTTTGTCACGACAGCAGTGGTTCTGGAGTCAAGGATGGAGGCAGAGAGATACGTTGGGTGTCATCTGCATGTGGAAGTTGACCCCATGTCTGCAGCTAATAAATAATCCTTGCATTTGATATAGCGCTTTTCATGTCTTCTAGACATCTCAAAGCGCTTCACAGAATAGACTGTAAAGTGAATTGACTGTATATTTGTCAGCGAAATGCGGCAGCCAATTGCGCACAGCAGTGTCCCACAAACAGTCATGGTTTGAAGTGACCAATTTATTATTGTTTTATTTTCTTGAGGGATTATTTTGATGTCACCAAGAGGGAGCATATAGATATTGAAGAGAAGGGGACCAAAGATAGATCACTGAGGAACGCCACATGAGATGGTGTGGCGGCTAGAGGAGAAACTGTTTGTGGAGATGAAGTGGAGACGGTGTGAGAGGTATAACCTGAATCATTCAAGGACAGAATCATGAAGGTTGAGGTGAGGCAGTGGATGAGGATAGAGTGGACAACGGTATCGAAGACAACAGAGAAATCAAGGAGGACGAGGAGGAAGAGGGAGCCTTGATCACAGATGGACACAATGTCATTTGTCACTTTGACCAGAGTCGTTTCTGTGCTGTGGGCAGCACGGAAACCTGATTGGAGGGGTTCGTGAAGGGAGTGGCTGGAGAGGAAGGAGTGAAGCTGGGAATAATGACTTGTTCCAGGACCTAGGAAAGGAAAGGGAGGTTGGAGGTAGGGCGGTAGTTGGAAAGCAGGAATAGATACAGGGAAGTTTTTTTTTGTAAGGATAAGAGTGATGACGACCGTTTTTAACAGGGTGGGAACAGTGCCAGTGGACAGAGAGAGGTTTAGGGATGGGGTCAAGGGAGCAGGTGGTCGATTTCATGCAGCTAACCGGATCACCTTTGGCTTTGGTTTCGAGGAAGTCCAGCATCACCTCACAGTTGGCATTGGAGATAAGGATGAGCGAGGCGTGAGAGGGTGGGTGAAGGAGAAGAGGAGCCTGGGGTTGTCCTTAGCCTCCAAGATTGTCTTGGAGTAGAATGACGATTTAGCAGAGGCGATGGCGGAGCAGTAAGATTTTATAAGGTCCAGCCACATTTGCCGATGGACTGCTAGGTTGGATTTAAGCCAGGTGCGTTCAGCGGCACGCGCCTCTGCCTTAAGGGAGTGGAGGTAGCTGGTGTACCATGGTGACTTTCGTGAGTATGATACAGTTCGGGAAGTGAGAGCAAGGGCATTGAGAGTGGTGGAGAGGGAGTTGTGGAGGAGCGTGACTGAGGAGGTTAGGCAATTGCAGGAATTAGCCCAAAGAGGCTGTAATTCAGATGATTCCAAGGCGGCAGCGGGGGGGGGGGGGGGGGGAGATTATTTTCCAGGAGCGGTAGGAGATGGAGGTGGGGAGAGGGATTGCGGAGTAAAGGGGGAAGTTAACTATGCACTGTAGTGTATAGTTGAAACATATTAAGCAGTCTGGTATCCTCAATGAGTTTCAGTTTATCACCTCAGTGATAAATTGTAAGAATTCTTTTAAAAAAAAGTAATCTGATGGTAAGGTGTCCTGATTAGAGGTGTTTACAAGGTTAAGTTATTTTCGACTGTATTAAACACAGATAAACAAACTAGCAAGGTCCCACTATCCATTGCATATCTCAGTCAGGGTAGCAAAGAGGACTCTAAAGCTTGCCTGAGCTAAAACTGTAAATGCAATTTAAAAGGCAAATGGGTTTCAAAGAAAGCCAGGCACGATTTCCACTAATACAACTGGACACAATGCACAACAATAAAGTCAATGCTCGCTAATATCTGTTTATATTTGAATGGTTAGTTGAATGCTAGGTTACACTAGGCCATTGCTCCATCAATCCTAGTTCATGGGAGAGTAATGGGAGAAAATCTATGTTTAAATAAAATGGATTCTCAACCCAGTCAGTGTGGCTCCATAGAATTCCCTCAATGGGTTTAGTGCTTATTTATGCATATAGATGCGTTTGGGAAACAAAAACTATTAATACTGATCAGCTGAAAGTGTTTTTTCTGAATTTAAAATTAAATTGGCAGAGTTGAGATAATTGATTCATGTTATACTTCACTTAGGAGTATTCTACATCAACATGGAAGTCAGGGTGGGAAGCATTCCACTTCCCAGCACCAACATCCTTACTCTGATGTAGCATGTAAAATGAAGTAAAGTTGCCATCACTTTCATGCAATTGAACATAATTTCATTTCAGGCCATATGACATTTTCATTGCATAATGAAAGAACATACCTCCATATGGCCCACCCATGTTTCTGCCACCAAAGTTTCCACCTTTCATTGGCCCAAAATTAGAGGAATGCTGGCTGTAGCTTCCAAAATCATTATAGTTACCACCTCCTCCAAAACTTCCTATAAAATACAAACAGTGTAACAGACCAGATGATGCAACTAAATTTGTGTTGCTTCTCTACCACCGTATCTCCCCTATCATGTAGCAAAGGTGTTCTCATGTACATGTTGTTGCTATTATTGTTTGATTCTTCCTCCCCCCTCCCCAATCCAGATATCCTACTCCAAGAGTTTCCATTGTGCTTTCAGATAAAGAAAAACGGAATAAATGGAATGTAAAGTACTGTTCTGGAATACTTATTAACCATTTTCTATTTCTTGCCAACACTGTTGTAGGAAACACCATCCCACAGCAGGGAAGAGTTGAGCTTTTACCTAGTAAGTTCAAACAGATGGACACGGGTGCTGGAACAGGCCAATATTCTCAACAAAAACGTTAGAAAGCATCAAATTAACAAATGCGCTGTTCCAATATAAGGTGCCCTTTTAAACAAGAAATTTCAGTTATACATAATTGCTTTTCTCATTTATCTGACATTTATTTTTGCAATTTTGAAAGGGCATTTGCAAAGTACTTACCACTATAATTGGCACCTCCTCCATAGCCTCCACCATAGCCACCACCACCATGGCTGCCATATCCTCCACCTCCAAATCCACTCCTTCCGCCTCCAAATCCATGTCCTCCACCAAAGTTACTACCTAGAAGAAACAATGATTGAATGCATTCATCCTTGAACGGGATATGGCAATATGCACTTCCCATATACTGTGTTCCATTATCCAGCTATCTAGTTTCCTCTCATTTCAATTATTTTGTCAGTCTGGCTGGTTCTTACCACTCTCTCATCCGAGTCAGAAGGCTGTGGATTGAAGCCCCACATTAGGATGTTGAACGTGCATAATTCAGGCTGACACTCCATTGCAGTATGAGGTGCTGGGACAAACTGAGGCCCCAGTTACCAGTACAGGACATTACAGATTCCATTGGACCATTTGAGAAGGAATTTTCTCCTGGTGCCCTGGTCAACAATCTCCCAGTTAAGATGGGTAATTCACTTCATGGCTGTTTGTGGGATATTCTGTGTGCAAATTAGCTGCCAAGTTTACCTACACTTTGTACTAAATTCTGAGAAGCCTTTTGAGGCATTCTCCTGATGTGAAAGGCACTATATCAAATGCAATTGTTTTTCACAAAGAAGCCTTTTCTCTTCTCGCTTGTTCCTTCTTCACTTCAATGACCTCCTCCATTATTGCATTTATCAGCATTCTTTGATCTCACAGTAAATGCAATTTTCGATCTTAGAAAAACAAGCATTACTGTGGTCTTCATGGAGCAATAATTTTGTTTCATTAAATTGCTCATTTTTTTCACAACCTTCGCAAATCAAACCTTAACACCTTTTAAGTTTAATAGTTCCATTCCTTATTCTTTGTACATTAATATTCTGCCTTTTCCTCAAACCTTAATTGGACATGGTACAGACATGAGACGCTTTCCTCTGCAGAAAGATGGGGATTGAGTGGGTACATTGAGGCACACAAAATATTAAGTGCAATAGATAGAACAAACCCAGTGTATTAAATATTATAAAGATTAAATCACAAAGGATAACGGGTATCATTTAAAAACAATTTCAGTGCTTGTTCGCAAGAAGGTTTTCAAAAAGAGAATGGATACTATGAGTGAGTAAAAGATGAACTTATAAGATGCGTTCCCTACAACTTTCCTTTTTTTTACACCTATTACAATAAGTTCTAAGGATACCAATCGTCTCCCCTCCCCACACAAACTCCCCAATTCTGACCTATATAGTTTAAAATGTTAACTTACCACCTCCACCATAACCATTGTACCCAGGGCTATCTCCAAAACCACGGCTACTTCCAAATCCATCTGTGGTAGAACAATATTCATTTAAACAGTAGCTTCAAATAAAAATTAAAAATAACCATATTTTCCAAAGTTCTTACTGTGTCCTCCAAAGTTGCCTCCGCGTCCCATACCAAAACTGTTACTTCTACGCGAATCTCCTCCATATCCACCACCTGCTATCAAGGACATTGTATTACTTTCACACGTGAATACATTTTACCAGTTAAAATAGGACTTTTGACAAAACTCCATTATTTGCTAAGCTCTTTGAAACAATTTCCAAATAGTCAGTAGGAATCCTCCAAATTATGAGCTCAGTTAAAGTATGACCACAACTGCAGCTTTTGCAATTTTGAATAAGCAAGCAATAACTACTTGCTCAGCATACACACCTCCTCTTCCAGACCTGGAACTTTGTGCATCCATCATTTCCTGACGGGACAGAGCTTTCCGTACTTCTGCATTGTGTCCATTAACATAATGATATTTTTGAACTGGAAGAAAGGTTTACATCTATGAACAAGTTATAAAGTGCAATATACCTGCATTAATCTACACTTTTTGCAACTGCTCAGGTGTTTTATTGAATACAAACAACATCCTGTCTATCTATGACCAGGGCTCCCTTTGTCTCCTCAACCTCTCTGCTGCCTTCGATACAGTGGACCACACTGTCTCCAATTTGTCTCTGCCAACGGTTTCTCTTCCAGCCCCCGCACAGTTTTCTGCAGTGTTACTCAGGGCTCTGTCCTCGGTCCCCTCCTCTTCAACCTCTACATACTCCACCTTGGTGGCATCATCCGCAGACATGGGGTCAACATCCACATGTACGCGGATGACACCCAACTCTATCTCTCAGCCTCCACCCTCGATTCCAGGACAACTGACCTCCTGACAGACATCAAGTCCTGGACGAGAACCGACTTTCTACAGCTGAATATCAACAAGACCGAGGCCATCCTGATTGGTTTGCACCACGGTCAGGAAACTGGTTGTCTTGTTCGACCCTCAACTGTCCTTTCTCCCCCATATCCGTGCCACGACCCACTCTGCCTTCCCCCACCTCGGCAACATTGCCCGACTCTGCCACTGCCTCAACCCTCAGGCCACAGAAACCCTCATACATGCATTCGTCACCTCAAGGCTAGCATATGGAAACTCACTCCTTGTCAGCCTCCCCAACTCTTCCTTCCACAAGCTGCAGATCGTCCAGAACTCTGCAGCTCGTGTCCTCTCCCACACCAGGCTCCGTGATCCCATCATCCTCACCCTTGTCCGGCTCTACTGGCTCCCCATTCTTCAGAGGACAGAATTCAAAATCCTAGTCCTCACTTTCAAGGCCCTCCACGGCCTTGCCCCCTCCTGCTCTCAACACCCTATCAACCCGTTCGCTCCTTCCATTCAGCAGGCTTCAATCTGCTCCATGTCTCCCGCCCGATCTACCATCGCCAACTGGGCTTTCAGCCTCTCTGCCGCCACCCTTTGGAACTCCAGCCCGCAATCCTTTCGCCTTGCTCTCTCCCTTGCCTCCTTCAAGGCACAATTCAAGACCCTCCCTTTCAACCGTGCCTTTGGCTGCCCTCCTACCTCTCTGCCCTCCCTCATCCCAACCCTGCCCCCCACCCCACGCCCGGATCCTGATCCCCAACTGTTCAGCGCCTTGGGAAGTCCTCCCTACGTGAAAGGCGCTTTACAAATGTAATTTTGTTGTTGTTATGGTTGTTTTACTGGATTGTTAACACTGCAATATGGGTACAAAATTAGTTTTAAATAGTATGCAAGGCACTCCCACATTGTGAACCCAAGTTTAAACAATATCAACTATCATTTGATTTTGGTTGCCCACCATGGTTGATAAACACGGTTTTGATCGGAATAGAGTAGGCCGTACAATTTCATAACTTGTTTAAAAAGCTTTTGTAAGAAATCTTGACAATATGAAGCAGCAATATAATACTACATAAGAACATAAGAAATGCTAGACGAAAAAAGACCAAGGTCCATCTAGTTCACCCTCCACCTTCCTGGCAGTCGCATGCACCTATGTCCCAAACAACCTATGTACTATATCCCATGTTATTTCCTAAAAGTAACATTATTGTTAATAGTTTATTAATTTAATAAACTATTAATAATAATGTTAAGTTATTAAGTTTATTCATTAATTTATATTATTAGTTTATTCATTTCTAATAATTAATGAACATTATTTTTAGCAATGATCCGAAAGAATGAAATGCAAGCACCTTGGGATTAAGTATCTACCAAGAAGCGATCTGTTGTTTTACAGCTGTCAAGCATTCACTTTAGCTTGAATGGACAATGTGTTTTAATACTACTCTCATGACATATTTAGGGTCAAGTATTTAACAAAATTTGCAGTGATTTTTCCTCAGAATGACTTTTCCATTTAAAAAAGGAAATGTACTTAAAAGGCCTGAGCGAGCGGAACCCTTTTTGCTTAAAGTACTACTTTTAATACAATTTTAAAAAATGTACTGAGGAATCTTCACATTTAGCAAAACAAAATTGTCACGTCCATAGTTGCTGATCATTTCAATGACCTGGGTGGATGCTCTGGACCAGTTTGGGACAGGCACTGAACCTAACCATTAAAATGGCGACTTGTAGGTCATCGGTTTGCCTGCCACTTCCCTTTTTACGAAGTAAACCGGTGGCCCGGTGACCTGGATGCTGGCCATTTTTTTCTTTCAGAGTGGAACAGGTTGCACACATATACAGTAAATTCCTTGCCTGGCTGGCATACTATGGTTCCCAAACACTGTGTTTTGACAGGGCTGCATAGCATATGCATATTTTCCCCTTAATTATAGCTTCAAAAACAAAGTACTTTCACTGGATTCTTTCCATTTGAGTACATTCGCACAAGTTACTTACGGACTACTTTGTCCACCGGATCATGATCGTCAAAAGTGACGAATGCAAAACCCCTCTTTTTTCCACTCTGTCGGTCTGTTATTACTTCAATAGTCTCAATGTTTCCAAAGGTTTGAAAATACTCTCTTAGATGATGTTCATCTGTGTCATCTTTGATCCCACCAACAAATAGCTTCTTCACAGTCAGATGAGCACCTGGTTTCCCAGATTCCTGCAACCATGCAAAAATTCATTCTCTAAATGAACTTGAACCAAAAATATTCTTTCCATTATAAAATATACAAATTGAACTAAGCATAACCACCCTTTCGTAATTTAAATCCCTTGATAAGGTCTTCTCAATATACCTCACCCTGAGGAAAAAAGCTCGAGTAAGCCTAGTTTTTCTTTACTTTACTTTCTTTCTCATTCCTGGTAATATTTTAGTAATCTACATTAGACTCTCCATTTCTACATCCGCCTCCTAGTAGTACCATGACCAGAACTGTACAAGATACTCCAAACCTGGTCTAAACAAGGTTTTATGTAAATCTGACATTAATTTCTTACATTTGTACTCTATTCCTGTGGATATAATGCCCTTGACTATTTGCATTATTTATCGCTTTGTCCATCTGTTGCTACCTTTAAGACTCTTGTGAATCTGAAACCCCACATCTCTTTGCTCCTCTTGGGGTATAGACCGCTTCTTCATTCCTCCTACCAGTTATTCACTTTACACTTCTCTGTATTAAAATTCATTGTCATCCCTCTGCTCATCCAACTAGTCGTATGATATCTTCTTTTTGAGGACATCTTCATCATTTACCAAACCTGCAAACTGTCATCTGCAAATTGACACCATGCCAACTATATGTGTATCTAAATAATTTATGTACATGGTAAACAGTAGTGATCTTAAGACAGATCCCTGTGAGACACTGCTTTACACCTTTTGCAAGTCTGAGAATCTGACCTTTACTCCAACTCTGTTTTCTGTTTTTTAGCCATCTTTCAATTCATTCTGCTGCAAAAAGTCATGTCCTTTACAGTATATTCTATTCAGTACTTTGATAGGTCCTCCTGACGTGAAAGGCACCGTCTCAAATGCAAGGATTATTTCTAGCACTTCTATGCGGCGCCTTGGGACATCCTCTCGACGTGAAAGGCGCTATACAAATGTAATCTTGTTGTTGTTGTTGTTGGAAAGCTAGGAATCTGTATACCACATCCACCATTTCCCGTTACTTTGTCTGTTACCTCTTAAAAAAAGGCATAAGATTGCTCAAGCATGACCATTCTCTCACGATTCCTTAATTCCTCAAAAAACTTAATTTTACTCCCCATCAAGATATTTAATTATTTTATCCTTCATTCTCGACTGTAATACTTTGCCCACTACAGATGTTAAGATAACTAGCCTATAACTACCTGAATTAACTCTAGCTCCCTTTTTAAAAATTGAAGAGTGGGATTTTTGTACACCGCTAAATGAATGAAAGACCCATCAAATGGCAAGCCATTTAACATTTTTGCTCATCAGTTCAACTCTACATGCAAATATATAATGGCAGTGCATAAAATTTAGAAATAAATGTTCATAATCCAGCCCCACCAGACAATAATACCTGAGGGTATGCAAACTACTCCAAGTAAGTGCTCTACAGATTAACATTGTACCTACCTTCCACATTTACTGGCCTATAAGACTGCATTAAAACAGACCAAAACTTTCCGTGGTACCTAGGAAGCTACTCAAGATATATTACCTAATTTACCTAGAATACTGTTTAAAAAGAAACCGGAATGGTGAATATAGTATTCAGATCTTGCATTTAGAAAGCTACAACCCGAGTGGAAGATGCATAAAACAGCAATGGTTTGGCACTACTGAAATACTGTAAAAGCCATTTTATGACTGCCAGATTTGTTTTCGAAACAAGGTAAGATATGTCATTAATTCAGTGCATAGAAATAAGTCATACCAGGACACAATCATGTGAAATCTTAGTTTTTGACAAAATAGGTTAAAAATTATTCCTTTCTAGGGAAGTAAGCTATCGATTGAAATCCTGAATTGGAGGTTTGTCCAGATATTGAGAAATAATTTGGTCACTCAATTCACGACTGTTTGCGGGACACTGCTGTGCGCAATTGGCTATCCATTTTGCCCACAAAATATACAGTCAATTCACTTTTCAGAATATTCTATGATACGCTTTAAGACATCTCAGAGACATGATAAGGCCCTATATCAAATGCAAGGATTATTATTATTATTATTTTTACCAGACATATAGCAATCTCTAGTCAACTGCTTTATTCTTCACAAAAGGAGCAGTAAGATTTTAAAAATCATCCAAATTTGTGGTCTCAAATGTAGTTGTTACAAATCGTGGAAACTAGGTGGACTTAGGTAGATTTTACTTTTAAGTTCAACATTCTTACGAAGTGAATTTTGAAAGATCCAAGTTCTAGATGTTTTTTAAGTGGCAGATGCAAGAGTGAATTGGGAAAGAAGTAACTGAATTGAATGCATTCCTTGTAATTAATTAAAACGGTAAAGCAAGAGATTCGAGTATCTGTTCAAAAACGTAAATTGACTGAAGTTGCTGCAAGTACCAGTCCAGAGGTAAGCTAAATTGCCTTCCTCAGAACTATAGACATTCTGTTTACTCTACTGCACAAACATGATTTATTGCTTCTTTATGCATAACCAAGATATAGCCTTAAAAATACATGGTTATTATATTTCTTATATCACTGTCAAGTGATATTTTGAATACAGTATCAAACTCAAGAATCGCAATCTGATAAATTAAATTGAACAAGTATCAAACCAATCTTGATCAGCAATTATATGTACTTGCTTGCTACGTTATGAAGAACCAGCAGAGCAAACTCACCTCTCCTTTGTCTGCAGCCCTCTACTTGTAGATTACATTTAAAAATGAGGCTCTATTCTACACCAATCAAACTGTGAAGCTTCCCTTAGTTGTAAACTTACCTCTCTTGCAACTGCTCGCTTGGGCTCAACAACACGGCCATCAATCTTATGAGGTCTAGCAGCCATTGCATCATCAACTTCTTCAGCAGATGAGAAGGTGACAAACCCAAACCCTCTTGATCGTTTGGATGATGGATCCCTCATAACCTGTGAAAATTATTACATGTAATCTGATGTTGTACACATATTATAATATGAATATAGCAAAAATATTTGCCATATGAGTACATATGAACAATAATATGCACAAAAATTCTGAATGGTAGTCTTCACTTAGTTAAATTGTACATTAACTAGTTTTATCTTGCAACATTTTGCATCTGTTAAGAGTGGACCATCAGCCCAGACTGGCACGCATCTATGTGACCATCCCAAGAACATTGGGATTATGGCTTTATTGATTTAGGAAAAAATACATTTTGTTCAAAGATTTATGTCATTTCACATTATTTCACAAAGAACACCCACCTTGTTTTGAAGACAACTGCAAGGTGAAAATTGCAAGGTGTGATGTGACAGTCAGATTATTGACAAATGAGATGTGCAGACATAACTGACTCTCGATTCTGGTACAATTGTTGGGACACAGAAAGTGGAATTTCAGTGTTGATTAGCAGGACACCTGCCATCCTCTTGGTGTGGAGGCAAGCAGGGGCTCCTTGGAGCTGAACTGGCTCGAACGGAATCAAGCCAACCCTATGTGGCGGTCTCGGTAGTCAGGTTCCTGAGCCTGGCAGGTCTGCAGTATTCCAGGACACTGCTGATGACAGCACAGCCAGCCTGGCTCATCGGCAGGACTTGGAAGTGCAGACTAGTCACTGAGGGCAGGGAATGCTAGGTAAACAGAGGCGTGTGGAGTAAGGAAACTTGCCCAACATTTCAGCTTGCCGGGAATCGAACCTAGGTCCTTTCGCTTGCGAGGCAAGTGCTCTAACCACTAAACTACAGGACTCCACCTTAGCCCATTGTCCTTCTTTGCAGACCACATTAACTCATTTATTTATAATTATATTATTCCTTACATTTGATACAGCGCCCCACCACATCCTTCAGACGTCTCAAAGTGCTTCACAGAATACACTGCAAAGTGAACCTGCATGCCCCGCAGGCGAAACATTTACATCCCAACGTAACAATTACTAAAGTTTCTGAAATGTAATAATTAATTCTGAATGTATTTTCCCTGAATATAGTGGTTTGTCATGTATATATCTACAGCAAATGTTACAATTTTAATCACCTCATAATTTATATCTTAAAAGAATGAATTTATATATCTCAAATGTCTCATGCAAAAAAACTTACTACACAGTCTGTCAGCTTTCCCCATTGCTCAAAGTATTTTTTCAGAGTCTCTTCTGTTGTATCAAAGCTGAGACCACCTATGAACAGTTTGCGAAATTGTTCTTTGTCACGATTCTAGAGAGGGAAGAGAGAAGTTTAGGGTTTTTATATATTAGCAAAACAAAGGAAACCTAGGTATAACTTTTATGTTTATAAAGGACTTCAGTAAAACCTGAATTAAGATTTGGCTTCACAAAATTGAAATGCACTTAACATATAATTCTCACTGCACAATATATACGTCAAACTCCTTCAAGATGGAGGGGCCATGAGAATAACTAGAATTTTTTTTACGGGGTCAGAAAAACAAGGATACTACTACATCCAAAATGGTGACAAGATTTTTGTAAATTTCTATGGTTAATTAGGATAATTAACGTAACAGATTTTACATAACTTGCATTTTATAGCACCTAAATGTTGAAATAATGAAAAGCATTTCAGTCATTTATGTTATAGTAGTGAGTGACACATACAGGCAAATGCAGCAGCCATTTTGCACACAGCAAAATGACCAATTAAGCATTTTCAATGCAGATCTGAATTTATAATCCACCCAGATTTCAAGAACATCTCTATACTGGCTGCACATTGAAAATAGTTTTTTCTTTTAAAAAAAAATCGATTTTTGTTTACTTGTTACACTTACATAGATGGATGTCAGCAAAGAATAATGTAAACGTCCATTTTGGGCATTCACCTTCAGTATCAAATTCTCTCAAGTCAGATATAGTAAACCAAGTGATTGTAAAAATGTTTATTCATTTCCTACATCGTAACTCCCAAAGCACCAGTGCGATTCCCCTTTCCAACTTCTCATAGCACCCATCTTTGAGTCGGTTGAAGATGTTTGTTTATATACTGAGTTTGGACAACTACAAATTTAAAGCTGGAAGCTTTGAACAGTAAAATGCTACTGGCTAACAGATATGCTTCTCCTGAGCGCATAGTTCACCCAGAAAATGTTCAAATTGTATAGAAAGCTTCACACTGGTACAATGGTGCATGCATTGAGTCCAAAACATGATTAGTTTACCTCAACTTGAGCACGAGTTATAATTTTGTATTCTATTGTTTACCTTTTTAAAAAAACTCTAGTCACCTCCCATTTTAACCATTGAGCCAATGATGTGAACCTGAAGACTGATTTAGTTTGAATCAAATAATTTAAAGAAACGTTGATGGGACTGAATTCCATTAAGCACCAAGATAATAATAATCCTTGCATTTGACATAAAGCTTTATCACATCGTTGAGATGACTCAAAGCGCTTCACAGAATATACTGTAAAGTGAACTGACTATATTTTGTGGGCGAAATGCAGCAGCCAATTGCGCACAGCAGTGTCCCACAAACAGTCAATGGACCAAATTATTATTATTATTTATTTATTGAAGGGAATATTACCCCCAGAAAGCAATCCGCCAATATCAGCCAACAACCAGGTTCCTACTTGCTGCTAGGTAGACAGTGGCATGCGGTCTAATTAATAAATAAATGATAATTATTAATTATTGTGAATGAGATAATCCACACAAGTACAGCTGCAGTCGCACAACTTGAGCATGATAGTGACTTCTGTTGCGTTTAGGTTTTTAACTCAACAACAACTTGCGTTTGTATTGCCTTTCACATCCCAGAGCACTAAATCAGCAGTTAGATGGGAGAAGGCATGATCTATGCATGTCATCTTTAATAAATATCAAATGAAAAATAACTAAAGATCTACAAAACTTTATAAAATGAACAGCATGGGAAACCTGTAGCTTAGTGGCTACAGCACTCGACTCGCAAGCAAGAACTGGAGTTCAATTCCCAAGCAGGGTGAAACGTTGGGCAAGTTTCACATTTGGGTGCTCTTACATGGCAGTAAGTAGGAATCCAGTTGTTAGTTGATTGGTGGTTTGCTTTTACGAGGGGTTATAATCACTTAAAAATAAAAATAATTGGCCACACAATCCATGAGTTTGTGGGACATTGCTGTGTGCAATTGGCTTCCGTGTTTCACCCACAAAATAGTCAATTCACTATACAGTATATTCTGTGAAGTGCTTTGAGAGGTCTTGAAGACATGATAAGGCGCTACACCAAACGCAAGTATTATTATGGAAACCGGCCACTAGGCCCAACCAGTGTTTAAACTGCACCAGAAAAAATGAAATGCCTCGGCTAGATTAGGAGAGCGCATTAAACTTAATTATTACCGAAATATTTACACTCCTTCAGACACCTACACGTTTTGGAGAAGTGATTCCCTTCCAAGCATTTCAAAAGGTAATTAAAACAGTCACACACAGATAACGGTCTCCCAGTAAAGAGGTGGCCGTCTCCTCGTGAATGAAGTGACGGGATAAAGAAAGACTCAACAAGGGGACCAGTTTATTCGTCAACTTTTTGGAGGCATGTAAAGACCGTATAAAGGCGACAGGCGTGTGCATACGTGGCAAGATGTGCATGTGGGAGGGTGAGCCCTTCACATGAAAACGCATAACCCTTAAAAAAAAACAAGTTCCAGTCACGATTTCGAGGTACTGACGGCGCCAACTTAATCTTTATCCGGTTTATTTTTCAAACTGAAGCGCATTTTTGCATTAACATCAACTTGTTTCCTCTCACACACTCTCTCTCTCTCCCCCCCCCCCCCCCCAACATACCCAGACCAATCTCCTTTCCCCTTACCTCCATCCCGTTGAAATAAAAAACTTTTGTTTAAAAACTAAATCAACCAACTTTCCCGCTTCGACAAGTATTAAAATAATCTGACTTATATATTTTTTTATATTTAAAAAGGAGTCAATCTTTCTGGCGGATCACACACGGACGCTGTTGGAAAGGACGCCGGCCGTCACTCAGCTTCTTCCAGAACCTTCTGCGGAGCCACAAAATGGCGGCCGGAGCACCACGTGACCCTCGCTCGCCGGCGGGAACAATGTTGTCAGATTGGGCGGATTCACTGCCAATCGGGCGGGTTGTTATTGTTGTAGTACTGAGCATAAAAACGGCTTTGGGCGGTTGCCTAATTTTTGAAATGTTTTTTCCCCCCCTTCGAAGACTTTTTTTTCTTTAGTTTTAAAAGCATTGACGCAAGTCAATGGAGGCAACGCATAGTAAGGGCTACTTTGGGACTAGTATTGGTTGACTTTGGGCTTCAAACGTAAATTAATTTCTGGCCGCCCTGGGCGAGAAACTAAGCTACTCCAGAGAAGAGAGAATTTCGTCAAACTCAACAGGAGTTTGAGTGAAAATAAATAATTCAGTGAGCGCGGTTTCTTTCGAATAATAAAAAAACAATTATTTCATTCGTGTTCGAATCGTGCGACGTTAAACTCACGATGTGTTTTTTTTGACGGAAAAAGCCGAAGCGATTTCGGCTTTCGGTGAAACTGTACGTCAGCATATTCCCCTTCCTCACAAATAGCAGTTGCCGTCGTTATCGGCTCGGGTATCGTTTTTTTTAAAAGAAAGCGAATAACGGAAATTTTTTTTTAAAAAAAATGTCAAGCGTTTTCCCTCTTTGTGCGGCGCGTGTTTGCTTTAAAACCGCAGAGGGGGAAGAGTCGCGTGCATGAGTGTGGGCATGCGCAGTGAGCCCTTGGATGGAGGCGCGCGGCCCGCGGTGTTTTTTTTTTGGCGGGACTCGACAGAGGCGGACCGCGTAGAGACCAAAGCCGAGCCCAGGGAGGCGAGCGGACCGGGAAGAGACGAGCGCCGCCTCCAGTGCGAGTAGATGAGAGCGGACCGAGCAGAAGCAACTCGATAGAGAGAGAGAGAAAGAGAGAGCGACCGAGAGAGCAGAGCGCGCGCAGAGGGTGGGAGGAAGAGGAGGGAGACGAGACGAGACGAGGAACGCGCGTGGCCTTCACAGAGGGAGAGACAGGGCGGGGAGAGAGCGGACCGAGTAGATCCAACCCGGGTAGGGGTGGGGAGGGGGGGCAGAGAAAGACCGGGACACGCGCACAGGGCAGGGCAGGGCCGCAGGAGAGCGCGGACCGGGCAGAGTGCACGCTAACCAGGGTGGGGGGGGAGAGAGAGAGAGAGCCAGCGAGCGAGTGAGCGGGACCGGGAAGCCACAACGGTGCGGGTAAACGGTCAACTCATCCACTCGGGGTTTAAACTCGGGGCCGCGCAGCTCAGGCCTTCTTCAGCGGCAGCAGCAGCCCTCGCAATTTTCACGTAAGGTGATGAAAAAGTTGGATTGGCTTTCAGTGTGTGTGTGTGTTTGCTGTGTGTGTGTGTGTGTGTTTGCTGTGTGTGTGTGGGGGGGGAAGGCCCTGCGGGGGAGTGGGCCTTTGCACGATCATAGAGCGGTTGAAAGTTTATTTTCAAAGCGAAGCCCTCCCCACCCCCCCCCAGTGCTATTGTGTATGTGGAACAAGATGAGGGTTCAGTGACTGCGGCCCCGCAGTTTGCGGTGGTTCAGAAGTTTCCATTTTTATCTTAAAATCGTGTGTATTATTCCGGGCTGGTGGTGGTGGTGGTGGTGGCTATGGGGGAGGGAGGGAGGGAGGGAGGATGGGCGAGTTTCAGGCCTTTTATTTGTTTGCTCCCTGCAGTCGTGCTATTCAAATTGCATTGATTTCGTGACTATACTTTTGGGTGTTAAAAGTCGCTTCGGAGGCATGGTTTTAATATTACTTTTATTTACGCACACAACCCCCCCCACACACACACACACACTCTCCCCCACCACTGGGATTCATTTTAGAATATTTCCCCAATTTCCTTCGGTCAGAGTTTCTATCCAATCAATGTCAGTTTGGTTGGAAGTGAACGTGTGTGAATGTGAACGTTTTGTTATTGTTCAGTTTACCCAATTTGTAGTCAACAAAGCGCTGCTAGATTTTATTAATATTTGTTTTTTTAAAACCGACACTAAATTCCTGGCCAGTTATATTACCTGTCAACTGATTCTTGTGTCCTACAGTTAAATCCTGATAAATGCACACCTATTGTACTTGTAAAGTTAAAACTTAGGTGATCAACTAATCAAATATTTGTTATGTGTTCTGCATTTCTAATATACTGTGACTACTGTATATAATCATATCGGGTCCAAATAAAATCCTTTGGATGGGACATTGTCTGTTCTCGTAATAAATGACAGCGAACCCAATAATGTGATAAAGCAAGTGTTTTTTTAACAAAGTAGTTATTATAGTAATAAACACTTTGTACTTTGATCAGGAATATTGCACAATGGAAGTGAATGGGAAGTACATTTGCATTCTGTGCTTGGATCTGTTATGCTTGGCTCAGGATTGTGTTTATCTGGGGTTCACTGTATTAAACAAACCCACACATCTGAGCTACTATATATATAATATATAAAAATCTAAGCTAGTTTAAACTTGCTTTGGAAAATTACTATTTTAATGATCAAATATATTTATATTTTATGCAGAATTTACTGTTGAAATGCTGATTTTATTCACATGTGAGCAATTGCTGGTTATTTCTCCTAGGACTTGACTAGGCGGACATAAAGTTGAAGATGACTACGGTTGAAGATCCCTTTTTTTCTCCTATTAGCCTTGTTTCTACTGGTGAGTTAATCCATGTTTACAATATTAGAAGCAATGCATCATGTTATATCCCATTTACAGTACCTGACCAATTGGTAGTTTCTAAATTAGTAAAGTGCCCACTCTGAACCAGGAATGTTGAGCATTGCTAGAACTACAAAAACATTCATATGGTACTGTAGTAAACTTAAAAATTTGAAACAACATTTTAAGCTTGTCTGCCATTTTGAACACAGGGTGGCTAATGTGAGAAACTATCACATTGAACATATAGTACTTCTCAGTGTTCAGAAGATGTCATTGGTGCCACAATTGACGGTGATTGGAAAATAGCAGACTTGTGATTTGGAGTAGTATGTATATAAAGACCTTCCAATCTTAATAAAAGGGGCAGTTCTTCACCCAGGGTCCTTTACAAGGCCTAGTAAGTGGGAAGTACCATGTTTCATGTATTCAATCAAGTTGAGAAATTGTAAGTCATCATATTGTAGATCTGTCATTATCACAAAATTATGCTCAATGCAGTGTGGTTTTGTGGGTGTTAACAAAAATTTCTTTGAATATTATTTCTGAACCCAGCTTTTTTAATTCCCTTGATCATCACCTTATTTCGTGTCCTGAGCTTTTATTGGTGAATTGTGATACGGTAGTTTAAAAATTGTTGCAGAAGAGATGAATTATAATCTAGGCACTAAACTATTCCTGATTTCCTCCTGACTTGCCCATACATGATAGATTGTAATTGTTAGTATAATACATAAGCAACTTGTAAATACTGAGACTTTAATTTCATTTGGATTGGTTTATGATATGCAGTACAGTATGGGTAATTTGTTTTGTGGGCTTAAAATTGATAGTTTTCACAGATTAGCACCCCAAAATAAAAATAGTTTTGTTTGGTAAGATAGGTGTCAACATATGCAGAAATCTATCATCATGCTTAACAGTATCCAAACCAAACTGGAGTTCCATGCATCCCACCTACGTATAGAAATCCTAGAGATAGATTGTTGAAATGAAATGCACACTCTCTCCCTGGAGGGGCGCACCCTGCTTACATAATTCGGGAAACTATTAAGCGCAGGTTGGCAAGAGCCAAGGCTTGGGGATCCCAGATTGTGCATTGAGGTACTGCTGGAGTCTAACCAGCTAAAATCACACAGTTTGCCATTGAGAGCACTACTTTTCCTGCTGCTTGTCCAACTGGGACTACCCAACCAGTTAGGCTTGCAAGGTTAACAAGCCTGTTAACAGTTCAAGATCCTGGTCCTCACCTTCAAAGCCCTCCATGGGCTTGCTCCCCCCTACATCTCGCCCCCTCCCTTGCCTCCTTCAAGACCTTTCGATCACCCCCCTGCCCTCCCTGATCCTGACCCCAAGCTCGGGTCCAAAACTGACTGTCCAGGACCTTGGGACGTCCTCCCGACGTGAAGGGTGCTATACGTATGTGATTTTGTTGTTGTTAATGGGAGCTGAGTGTGAAGAGTCTCTACCCCCAGTGACTGGTCTGCTCTTCAAAGTCCTGCTGATGGCTGTGCAGTCAAAAGCAGTGCCCCTTGAGTACTGTGGACTCCCCTGGCACAGGAACTGGACTACCAAGACCGCCATAGAAGGTTGGCTGGATTATGATGTTCTGTCACCAAACATGCTGCTTTGGTTCAGCTCCAAGGGAGCCCTGCTTACTTTCTTTCTTACTTTCTCAAGGTAATATCTCCTGTAAGAATTAAAATGCATTTACTCGCCTTCTGAATCAGTTTTGCACTCCCGCTCTCAGCTTCATACTTTCTCTTAACTAGATTGTGTTTTTGTCAACTGGACCAGTGCAGCCCTTAAATTTAACTACATTGCCAGAACAGATAAATTCATGTGGTTGAAGTTTATACGAGTCCACCAACAAATCACCTATGTCTTCCAGTAGTTTGATGGTGGCAAATGTGAAACTATTTATTTAGTATAACTGTTCACCAAATATTTACTGACATTGTCAGGAAAAGCCAAATTAGCTTTCCCTGATAATTTTACTCAGACTAGGTCCTTAAATCCCAAACATAGAAAATGCTTTTGAAATTAAACTCCTTTTAGAATCTTACAGAACAGACTTTTGGCCCAATGTGCCTGTGCCGGCTCTTTGAAAGAGCTATCTGTAAGGGTTAAATAAATTTGTGACCCTGCAGTCAAGTAAAGACTGACACAAATTTCCTTTTCAATAGTAAAATTTAATAAAAGATTAGTAAAGAAAATGCATATCAAAGTTATACGTTTCATCAAAGTAATGCTTACGACGGGTTAGTAAAGTTCACCTAAATTGGTTGACTGGATCAATATCGTAGCTTTGATGTCGGAATCGGCTTGTTTACGTGCATTGATCCATGTTGATTTTAGTCTATCCCTTCCTCAAGATTGGTTACGATTAGCTGCTCCATTCTCTTCTCCGATCTAACCCCCAAAAATCTCAGATTCTTTATACCTTTTTGGTCACATACACCAGTCAGTTCAATGTGTTAGAAACACCAGCTCGAAACCAAGGACAAACTTCCAGCAGCTTGTTTCAAAGCAAGTCTTTGTCTCACAATGATTTTTGAAGTAAACATGCTTCCACCATCCTTAGTTTTCAAGCAGATACAGCTTTCCTGTAGAAACACATTCAGGAGCCTGGATTTTTCTTTGCTCAACCTTTTGGTCAACTCAAGCAGCCCAGAATTCTGGATTGCTTACAGTCCCTAATCCAGTGGGTCAAGCTAACAGCATAGGCCCACTATCACAATTAGAAACTTCACAACTCTCTTTCATGTCAGCCACTACATTAAATCTTTTCAATTCATTTTACAATGCAATATAAAATTACATTTGTAGAGTGTCTTTCACGTCAGGAGGACATCCCAAGGCGCTGAACAGTCAGGGATTAGGACCCAAGTTGGGGGTGGTGGGGTTGAGATCAGAGAAGGTGGAGGGCAAAGAGGTATGAGGGTGGCTGCAGACACGATTGAAGAGAAGGGTCTTGAGGCAGGCCTTGAAGGAGGCATGGCCTGGAGCGAGATGAAGGGAATGTGGGATGGAGTTCCAGAGGTTGGGGGCAGAGAGGCTGAAGGCCCGATCGCCGATGGTGGGCTGGGCAAGGGGACATGGAACAGGCCGGAGTCTGCTTAGCGGAGGGACCAGACAGGTTGATAAGGGGTTAGCAGGTCGTAGAGGTAGGAGGGGGCAATGCCATGGACAGCCTTGGAGGTGAGGACGAGAATTTTTAACTCAATCCTCTTGAGGGATGGGGAGCCGGACAAGGGTGGGTGTACTGGGGCACAGAGTCTGGTGCGTGAGAGGACACGAACTGCAAAGTTCTGGATGATCTCCAGCTTGTGGAGGGAAGAGTTGGGAAGGCCGACAAGCAGGGTATTGGCATAGTCGAGCCTGGTTGTAATGAAGGCATTTTTGAGGGATTCAGCGGCCTGAGGGGTGAGGCGGTGGAGGAGTTGGGCAATGTTGCGGAGGTAGGGGAAGACAGAGCGGGTCATGGCACGGATGTGGGGGAGAAAGGACTGTTAAGGGTCGAACAAGGTGCCTAGCTTCCTGACTGGCTTGGTGGGATGGAGCGTGCATCTTTGGATGCTGCCAATGCCTGAGGTGCGGAGGTGCTGGTGCGATCCAATCAGGAGGGCCTCGGTCTTGCTGATGTTCAACTGCAGAAAGTTGACTTTCACCCAGGACTTGATGTCTGACAGGCAGTTTGTCAGGACATCTGTGGTCCTTGGGGTTGAAGGTGGAGGCAGAGAGATAGAGTTGGGTGTCATCAGCACACATGTGGAAGTTGACCCCATGTCTGCAGATGATGTCATCAAGAGGGAGCATGTACAGGTTGAAGAGGAGGGCCAAGGACAGAGCCCTGAGGAACATCGCACAAGACAGTGCGGGCGCTGGAGGAGAAGCCACTTGTGGAGTTAAAGTGGAGCCGGTGTGAGAGAGAAGATCTGAATCATTCAAGGACAGAAACTTGAAGGTTAAGGTGAAAGGAGAGGCGGTGGAGGAGAATAGAGTGGTCCACAGTGTCAAAGGCAGCAGAGTGGTTAAGGAGAAACGGAGATTGGAGATGAGGCAGTAGTTAGTGAGCAGGAATGGGTCCAGGGAATGTTTTTTAGGATAGGGGTGATGACAGTTGTTTTTAGTGGGGGTGGGAACGGTGTCAGTTGACAGGAGAGGTTGATGAAGTCTGAGAGTAAAGGGGTCGAGGAGGTGGAGCTAGGAGGTAAGGAGAAGGGTAGGGATGGGGTCGGGGGAGCAAGTGGTGGCCTTCAAGCGGGTTACAGTGGTGGTTAGAGAGGAGCGGGGTGACAGGTTCAATGGTGTGGAGGGAGGGATCTGTAGGGGCCGGAGTGGGGGAAAGATGGGGAGGGGGTGGCGGTTGGGAGGGTGGAGGCAGCTGAAGGGATCCCCTTGATATCTGCAAATAATATTAGGACATTATAACATTTAGAAACATGTCTGTTCCAAATATTATCCCCAACCATCAGCTAAAACTCGTCTCATAGTAAAACTGAACATTCTTAATTTCTTATGTTTATAGGATTATCCACCTTGTTGTGAAACCTAATATTTTTGATCCGAGTACCCTCCTCGTGTATCTTTCAATGAGATGTTTGCTATTATCACTTCTCCATCTTTAATTATCGTAGCTGGTCAATGTTTACCTTGCACTTGTGTCGCATGTCCCGTATTACTTGACCTTATCTACAATTTGGTGCGGACCCTCATTCTTTCTCCCTCACTCCTTTATCTTTTATCTTGCTATCATTCAGTACATATGGAAAGTGGGTAGGGTCGGGCTTATACTCTGCGTCCATTGCACAATAAGACCTACCCTGGTTCAGTACTGATCAGTAATTTATGGAACATGGATAGGATCCAGTTTATATTCTGATTCCAGAGCAAAGTCAGACCTATTATGGTCCTTTTTTTTATTTTAACACAAAAATTACATAAACACAGACAAGATGCATAAAGCATAAAACTTACAAAATGGCCAATAATGT